CTGACTCCCCAGGCAGGGTCATGACCGGTTTGCAGTCACAGTCCTTGTTTTTACATTTCTGTTCAAATAAGCCTGGACACAAGAAATGTAAAAGGCTGCTCAGCTCCTTCAATACCACAGTGTAATGCAGCTGTCTGTCACACAGGAAAAGACATCTGGGGGAAACAACCATTCTCAGTGGCCAGGCCAGGACTAGAATAAACCCACAGAGAAGGAAGATCTTCATAATCACACACACAGATAAATTATTAATGGCATAAAATGGCAAAGCCAGAGAATCGCATTCAGTCCATGTATTGTATTTCTTTCTCCTTGTCTTTTTCATTTCACAACATAAATGCTCAGGTGTCTATATTCCAAAACAGAAAAATATCCACTGCAAACACTTGTCTCCAAAGGAGGAGCACAAAGAATAACTCGCCCCAGAGTTACTCATCACACTGCTAAAATGGAGGTAACGCAGTCCCTCACCCCACTCATCCGTGGCATGCCCCTGGACTGTTCCCACATAGGACATGAGCACAGGACACTTGTTCTCTGGAGAGGAGTTAGGAGGTGCCTTCTCAACTCTGAGAAGTTAATTTTCATTTGGCCCACAAGCATGTAATTAAGATCCTTCATCACAGTGATGAAGACTGTGGTGGTCATTCTGTCTGTGGCCTCATCCCTGCTGTGGTAGCAACGTAAACCACACTGCACCCCTCTTCTCATCCTTTCCTTTCCTTTTGGCAAGTTTTGCAGCTGAAGCAGTGAATTTACTCCAACAACATAGCTGATCCGTGGCAACACAGGCTGTTGTAGATCTTGGCTCCATTCCCCTCCCCCCCCCTTCTTCCAACACTCCGTCAGGCTGAGAACACTTCTGGGCAGCTACCACCAAAGTTTCTTCCAAACATGAGTTTAATTTGTGTTATACATGACACAAGCCCCTACCTGGAGCTGACCCACTAGCATCCAGCTTATTTGTAGCTGAATAAGCAAAACAACCTTTTGCTTTCTACCTATTAGGTCAGTGACATTGATTTCCCCTGACTGCAACGGCTGCAGCTCACAGGAGAGGGAGAACTGAACGTATACAAGTTGTTCGGGGAGCTGCTGCGTGCCCTGGGAAGTGGAGATTCAGGGCTGTTTTCCTTTTCCAGGTTTGTCTGATTGGCTAGTCCTGCGCTAACACCCTGGGTCCCAGCTGTCCACAGCTATTCACATTTTCTCAAGTCACGTTATCCAGGATGGACAGAGATGAATAATTAAATCAGAGGGTTGCACTAGGACTTGTGAAAGTGACGTTGGAAATATCAACAGAAGGAGAGAAAGTTGCAACCTTTTTTTCATTATCTGCTCCTTTTAGCATCAGGTCTTCAGCCCATTTGCTGTTGTCACAGTCATTAATGTCATTAGCAGCCTCTGTGCTTCAAGAATGCAGATGACACCAAGTGGCCTGAAACAGATTCTAGACCATGGGCTTGGCTATAAACTGCCCCATCCAAAACCACAAAGAACCCTAGACACAATCCTCTCCCAACCCTCCAGTGTGACTGGATGCCACAGGAGTCATGTCCTCCTGGACAAGGGGCTGTGGGTTCACAGTCAAGACTGGATGCCACAGGAGTCATGTCCTGGACAAGGGGCTGTGGGTTCGCAGTCAAACGAGCACTTCAGGCAGCAACATCAGAAACACTCTCCTTCACATGCACCCTACAGCTCCAGAGTTTTGTGTTCTCCAGATGGAAAGCACAGACCTCACGGCAATCAGAGACTTCTCCCCAGGGATGCCAAATAGTCCCACTGAAAGAAAGGTCCTAGTGCCTGCAGCAGGTAGTAGATACGTGTAAGCATGTCAGACACCCTCCATTAACTGTCTCTTAATAAAAGCCTTCAAAGTACATTAGTATTAGGAAGGCACCAAAGAAACCCTTAATCATGATAGTAACTAGTGGTTTGGGCCAGGGCAGTGAAATCAGTTTATTATATGCTGTTCTTCAGACACAGTCTGCCTCTATACTTCAAAAATGTCAATTAATTTATGGACACGCAGCTTTTATCCCTCTCCTGATAGCTGGCACATCCTATCCTCATTTCAATTTGTTGGCTCACTTTCTTATGTGAAATTCAGCAGAAAAAGGGCACGCAGATCACCCTGGGAAGCTATTGGTCAGACAGGGAGAACAGAAACTGCCTTTAATTGTCCAGGAGGGTGTTTGAGCTTGACCTCAGCAGCCAGCCTCGGGGGGACTCGGGGGAGCTGTAAGACACGTGGTTACAGGTACCGTTTTCATAGCACTGGGGGACTAGCTTCAATTAAAGACAGCAATCCTATAAAATCTGTAGCATTTATGGCATTCTGATGTTAGGAAGGGGAACCCAGCACACCCACTTAGGATTAGGAGAGCAGACCTCGTGCGCATCCCTCTCAGGTTCACACACTCTCACCAAGGGCAGCTGCTCCCGTCACTTCATCTGAGCTACCCTTATATTAGTGGCCACCCAGGGAATATCCCTTCTATGGGCTGCCTGTCTCACCATGCCTTTTCTTTCCACGAGTCTGGAGGAGCCACAGATAGTCACAATATGGGACAGTTCAACACTGAGAGGATGTTGGCTTTGGTCTCCTTTCCCCTTTAATCCTCCGCAACAGTCGTCTTGCTGACACCAGCCCTTACGACCTGTGCAACAGAGCATCGCTTCTCCGGCCCCGGGCTCAGACTAGAGGTCTTGACACTTCACACTCGGCTGACAATTGCTGTGACGGAGGGATGCACGGAGGGGCAGCTGCTCATGCTATGAGATAGCTGTAAGCTACAGAGCTAAAAATAATGACAGCTCCTTGAGAAATAATGCCAAGAAAGCTTGCCATGGCTTGTGAAAGAAGGCCTAGACATGGCTTGGTTTTGAGAATGGTTTAGTACATGTTCTCCGGTTCTCACCTCTTCCCGCCTGCTCTGAGCACTAACTGCGTTTCTCTGCTCCCTGCCTACACCGTGCAGGATTACAGGGTGAACATCTTCCTGCGACAGCAGTGGAATGACCCACGGCTGGCTTACAACGAGTACCCTGACGACTCGCTGGACCTGGACCCCTCTATGCTGGACTCCATCTGGAAGCCTGATTTGTTCTTCGCTAATGAGAAAGGGGCCCATTTCCATGAGATTACCACAGACAACAAGCTCCTGAGGATCTCCAGAAATGGCAACGTCCTCTACAGCATCAGGTGAGGTGACTCAATGGGAAGAGCTCCGCAGAGGTGGGGGAGGGTAGAGCTAAACCCTCACTGTTCAACTCTAGAATGAGGAAGTGAAGACTTCGGGCATGCTGTTGGATAAAAGGAAATGAAGGGTTTTAAGGTGGGAGATCACACAGTTAGTGTTATAACAATGTGGTGGGAAGGGACCTCTGGACTGAGGAAGTGAAGACTTCGGGCATGCTGTTGGATAAAAGGAAATGAAGGGTTTTAAGGTGGGAGATTACACAGTTAACAGAGTTATAACAATGTGGTGGGAAGGGGCCTCTGGACCTCCCATGCAATCTCCTCATGATGAATGACACCAAAAATCAGGTCAGCTGTGTCTTTGTCTGGTCAAATTAAAATGCCCCATGGATGGAGATCCCCTGACCTTTGCAGGCAGCCTGTGCCAGTGTTTCATCCTCCTTTTGGGGCAGATTCCTTTGCACTAAAATCACTGAGATGTGAAACACATCCCTATTTCCTTGACCAATATTGGTTGTGGGGTTTTTTTGTTTGCTTTGTTTTGGGTTTTTTTTAGTTAAATACAGCTACACAAGCTAAAAGAAGGAAAAAGGTCATTAACCAGCTCCCTCATCTGGACCTTTATATCCACAATTAACCTGTGCTTACAAGTAGTGTGGTATCCAGTTTCTTACAGCAGTAGTTGAATCTATGCTAGAGCAGAAGGATGTGGGTCCTTCAGCCAGATGGTCGTGACTCACTGCTGCTTCTACAACAGGCAGAAAAGTAATAACCAAGAAGATAATAGCCAAAGCATATTGAGATCAAGGGTTGGTCTGGGAAGGAATCTAGCCCATCTCTGCCTTTCTCAGATCAAGCACTTCTGCTCCTCACTAGTAGATTCCTTAAGACCACTAATGTAAAATTACTGGAGATATACTAGCACAAGCCTAAAACCAGCTGTACTGCATGAAAACTGGTAGAAGCCTACGGAAAATTAACGTTTGAAAGGTGCAGCATTTCCTGACAAAAAATTAGGGAAACGGCTAAGTAGAGCTCAATGGCTTTGTCTCAGCATAACTCCTCCCATTATCCCTTTATTGCTAGATCCAAGAATCCATCAGTGAAGCTGAACTAATTGCACTGATTTTCCCCCAGGAAATCAATCCAATCCCTCACCTTCACTTCCAACCTCATCCACTCTTTATTTTAAACCAATGAAATTAAGATCAAACTGCAGAAGCGCAAACAGATAAAGTTCAACTCTATATTGAAGGTTTTTTGACCTCATGTGTAATGTCATTTGCCTAAGGTACTCACACTCCATCTCACACTGCTGCTCCCAGTAGTGGCCATGGGGAAGCCATATTTCTTGATTTCTAAAAGTAGGCAGGTAGTAAAACCGCCACCAGCAACTTGGCACTGAGCGCAGCAGAGAGTCCTGTTCCAGGTGGGTTTGCAGGAGCACGGGGAGGGAATAACGGATTGCTCTGCAAAACAGAGCAATGACTCAGCAGGGGACATGGACCAATGGTGCTGAGCCAACCACCATTTTCAAGGTTAAAACTTGAAAAAACTTCAGTTCTTTTTTTAAAAAAAGAACTTTACTATCATCTCCCTCATCTCCAAGTGAAAATGCAGGTTTCTTTTAAAGTACATTTTCCTGTGAAAACCAAAAAGAAGGAGGACATTCATGATTGGAGAGCACAATGTAAATGTAAAGAGTTTCCAAAGGGAGAAGTAGTCTTTCCTTAAAAAAAAAAAAAAAAAAGGCTTCTGTCTATAGTGTTCTGCCATTTTCTAACTGTCTCTTTCTACTACTATTTGCAATAATCAAACTCTAGTGAACGCACTTACAAGAAGGTAGACTTTGTCCCATGGACCCAAATCTCAGCATGCTCACCACTGGGTTTCCCCAAAATCACCCTTGAGGGTTTCACTCCCTGGCTCCTTCTCAACACACACTTGCCTGGAGCATGCTCAGCATCTCATGATCTAGTCGCAGCCACTCAGCCTGTCTCACGTCTGGCAGACATGTACAGTAACGTTTCCTCAAGCGGGTTGTCTGAAGATCTAACTGAAGGCTTGTCTCTCCGATTGATCGTAGATGGGGTCATCTGCCAGAGGTGTGATGAGAAAGACAAAGTGGGCAAAGGCTAGTTGTGACTCTCTTCTGCCCACAGCTGTTTAAATACAGAAAATGAAGTTGCTTTCATAAAAAGGAAACTTCAACAGGTCGATTCTTTCTACTGTCACATCTTCTGTCCCAACATGCCTCTAAACCCAAGCGGGGAATTTCTTCCAACATAAGGATTTAAGTTAAAATATCTTTCCCTCCCGCTAAGTTTCTTGTAGGTTTGACGATAGGAAAATTCAATTCCAGTCCCCCAGGAAATTCTGCTCTTTCTACATCAAGGCAAAATGCTGAAAAATCTTCAGAAAACAGTGTTTTAAAGATTATCAAACCAAATAACACAATATATGTGCTATATACCACAGAAAATGGTATATAAAAGCTATGTACCACAGAAAATGCATCCTGCACCTAATGGAAAATGGAACTTTGAGAGACAAAAGTGGAGGTCTCAAGAGGCACAGCAGGTATTCAGGAAGATAGAGAGGTTCATAGTGACTTGCCACAGGGCATTTTCCCTGCAGAAAATCCCACCAAAGTCTCTCTTCCCTCACAGAAACCTGTGATCTTGACCAAAATTCATTTTTTCCTTCTGACAGAGAAATGTTCTGTTTAAAGATTTCCAAGCAGTCCCAGTTCCTAGAAATGTATCTGGGGGATCCCGGGGATGAGTCTGGGCTTGTTGATAATCCAGACTGTTGGGAACCTGAGGCAAGACATGAAAACAGAAACAGCAAAACTGTTTGGTGCGGGAAGTCTCTGTTCTGCACAGTCCAAAACAACATTGCAATGAAACGCCATCTGTGGCGAGCGACTCTGCTGGGAATTATATCACAGACCCAAATGCTCGGCATCTCTGATGCTTTCCAACACCATGTGTGAAAACACAGGCAGGGAAGAGCTGAATAATCAGCCATTCTCCAGCACACCTCTGTATCTCGGGCAAAGTACCAGCCTGTTTGCAACACTGGGTGTCCAAGAGGGTTCCCTGCCTCACCAGTACCCCAAAAACTGCTTGTCATCCCCTGTGTTATCGTCTCTCCTCAGGATCACGCTGACCCTGGCCTGCCCCATGGACCTGAAGAACTTCCCCATGGATGTACAGACATGCATCATGCAGTTAGAAAGCTGTGAGTCCTGCACACATTTCCACTTTGGAGAGGAGTCAATGTGTTTTCTCTCTCCCTTTCCCCTGCCTACTCCCTCCCCAGCTGCAACCATTCCCTTCAGCCTTCGCTGGACTCTCCCAGTATGGAAGAGAAAGAAGGGTGGGGGCAGGCTTGCTCTGCTGTGTGTTCCTGGGGCTGCTTCTCCCACTCTTCCCCACTCGCATACCCTCTGCAACCACCCCCCCCCCCAGTCATCCACATCTGCATCGTAGGCCAATGCCAGCAATAAGGTTTGAGACAGAAAGTCTTGGAACAAAGGGCAAATTTGGTTCAGATGCCAACAAAACAAGAACCCACCCCTGAATTGCCCCAGTCCAGTGTGTCATTAGGGATCCCTACGGAGGGGCTCACTGTTCTGCATCCCTTCCCAGAAGCACTTGCTCAAGATTTTCCATTCATTCAGCACATGTGACATTTCCTAGAGAAGACAAACCTTAAAAAATCCCAGGAGAGGAGCCCTGACTTGCTCGTATTTACTCTGGCCTTTCACTTTGAAGGAGAAAGGTGAAAGTGCTCTCAGCTGCAAATGGGATTTTTTTTCCTCTCTGGATGAGCATTTGTCCCCTGTACATGTTGCTTATCCCAAAGGAGGGAAAGACGACGAGCAACTTCTTTCAGAGAAAGAGGTCAAGTTGGGAAGAATAGCAAATGGCTCGACAAGCCAAATTCAAGAAAAAATGTGATTTATCGCAGACAATTCCTTGCACACCAGCGCAGCTCCAGGGCAGGTCATTACCCTCACTTTCATCACACGCACGGGCGGGTTTGCCTCAACTCATTCATTACAGCATTGCCAAGGAAGGCCAGGATAAGCCCCTGCTCCCAAGCATAGCTCTCTCCTACAAACCTGTCCCTCTCCAGAGCAGTGTTTAATATGTTTCTCATGGTATCTCTCCCCTTCTCTCATCAGTTGGCTACACAATGAATGATCTCATATTTGAATGGCAAGAAAAAGGAGCCGTGCAAGTGGCTGATGGGCTGACATTGCCTCAGTTTATCCTCAAAGAAGAAAAAGACTTGAGATACTGCACAAAGCACTACAACACAGGTCAGTGCTGTTTACCCTTATCTGCTGGGTTCATTAGAGAAGAATTCAGGACTGTGCATTTGCCAGAGCCTCTTCCTATGTCTGATGGCACTCTGGTGATGCAAGCCTTGTCCTACACAGCTGAGGACAACATATATATAAATACTCAGAGATATGTCACCAGTAAGTGTGCACACATACAGCCAATAAAAAGCAAATAGACACAAATGTGTCGAACCCTCTTGTCTCCAGTAACACCTGCATCAGTCCAAGGGCGTTTGGTCCAGAACATCTCTCCCAACATCTTCTTTTATCTTTGATGAGAGGGAGCAGGTGAAATTTAAGTGACAAAGGACATATTGCCAACAGCTTCCTTGTTGTATAGTCATATTTCAGAACAGGACAACAGCTGTTAATTTCCTCCTGTAACAAGACTCTGGTTCTAGCCAATGCAAGAAAAGTCCCCAGAGAGTAGCTGAAAACAGGAGGCTCACCGTGCCTTACCAGTCTTCTTCCACGTATCTCCTGTCATTCTCAGGCAAGTTCACCTGTATAGAAGCTCGTTTCCACCTGGAGCGGCAGATGGGCTATTACTTGATCCAGATGTACATCCCCAGTCTCCTGATTGTCATTCTGTCCTGGATCTCCTTCTGGATCAATATGGATGCTGCACCTGCTCGTGTTGGCCTGGGGATCACCACAGTGCTCACTATGACCACGCAGAGCTCTGGCTCCCGAGCATCACTGCCCAAGGTAGGGAACACACTTAGCTTTGCAGCAGGGGAATACGCACTCTCTGGGGACAGCACATAAGTCACCACACAGATCCTCCTGCTCAACATAAGACACATTCTTCTCTTATCACCTTATTCCCATTTAAGGGCAAGCAGAAAAAATTCCAGTCCCTTCCTGCAAAAATTTTAGCAGAGTTTCTATGACCAGCAGCAAAACTTCCCTAAGATTCAGCACTCACCACAAGATCCCCCCCAGCTCCCAGTAGCCAGGAGCTCTGTACTGACAACCACGCATGGATACGCACTCTACATTCTAGCTTTCACTCACCTGACCATCATACTTTTAGAATAGTACTGAATTCCCCTGTTATGAGGGAATTCTGGCCTGGTCAGACTGGATTACTATTTTTCTTGCATATAAACCATCACAACCAAGACCTGAATAAATTAAAAACTGTAGAATTATTGCACTTAAGAAGCCCCAGAGCAGTTTCAGTGGTCTGATAATATATTAATGTTAAATGAGCTAGATTTTGATATCCAGGAGCAGATGTCAACCATATTATGACTTGATCAACTCCTTTCAAAGACCTTGGGAGTAACATGTAAAATGGCAAGAGAAAAAGGCACCTAGGGGAAGAAATCACCTCAGCTCAGTGTCTCTCTCTGGCTCCTAGGTGTCCTATGTGAAGGCCATAGACATCTGGATGGCCGTGTGCTTGCTGTTCGTGTTCTCCGCGCTTCTAGAGTACGCTGCTGTCAACTTCGTGTCTCGGCAGCACAAAGAGCTGCTCAGGTTCAGAAGGAAGAGGAGGCACCATAAGGTAATACATAAAGCGTGAAGGCCACGGCTGGAATCTGTCCCAGCAGAACATCACTACATGGTCAACTGAACCGAACCACTAGCTCCCAGGGAAGTCCTCAGTATACAGTCAGACGTTAAGGAGGGTCATACATCAAAAATCAGGGCTACATCAATGAATTGTGTCTCTTCTAACAGTCTGCTGACCCCAGGAGTATAGCAAGCTGGTTTTTGTTAGCTAGCCAAGCGGTCTAAGCCAAAAGGGTTGTTCTCAACAGAACCATTTTCACACAGCAGAGTTCCCTTCAGAAAACACAGCAAGGGCTGGGGGGGAGGCAGGCAGGGAGGTGTGAGGGATGTCTATCTAAGAACAGCATCCCCCAACAAGACAGCCTACATTAGCCCGGAGGTAAGTGACACCTCTTTTGTCTCTGTCATCTCCATGTTCAAAAGCATCTGCTTCTCAGGCCGACTGCAAATTCCTCTCAGGAGGAAAGAACATTATCCCAACCTTTCTCCATGCTTACTTGCCATGACTGACCCCAAGCCGCGCATGCACGCGTCACAGACGCATCCCCTGCAGCCTGGACCCTACTAGCTTTTCGGCTGAGGTAGCACAGCAAAGATTTTACCTCACAGGATACACTAGAAAGACACATGAAGGTGACTGTGATAACAAGGCCAAAGGCACTTTAAAATCGTCCTTAATTAACTAGCAGAATCAGGTAGGTGGTATCAAATTTTCAGCACCAGCCTGAGAGGCTGCCCTCAAGCTAGCATTAAAACCAAGTAAATTTGCTAAGGAAAAAAGAAAATGTTGCTGACTGGAATCTCAAGAGAGCCTGTAGGAGACCACCAAGCTCTGCCTAAAGTATTCCTCATAGGTATTTGTCTAGAGCCTTTTAAAGAGCCTTCCATGAGCCATCCCATCCAGAGACACCTTCCCCACCCCCACCCCCATTCCATTGCCTCACTGTCCCAACCCTTAAAAATCTTTTCCGGCGTCTAACCTGTCTTACAGCAGTTCACAGTGTGTGCTTGGAGAATTCCCACCGTTCTAGGATGCAGTGGGGGCTGAGGAGTGGGAATCCCTGTCTCTTTGTACATTTGCCTCTCTCTGGTTCAGCTGTCCTATCTGCAAACCAGGAGATAATTGTTCACTTGTCCCCAGCACAGTCAGGATCAGGGACGAAAAGCGCTGGACAAACATAAGTGAAAAGCAAACGAGACCATCAGCACCTACCGATTTTGTCTGGCCAGAGCAAGACCTTGCCGTCTCAAACCAGCAGAGGCAGTTTTGGTTCAGAAGATGCAGCCTACTTAATAAACCCAAAGCTAAAGCCACCCAACATGGGTGCATCATAGTGCTTTTACCTGTTTGTCTAGAGTCAGGCATCCTCTCTCTGGATCTGTGTTGTTGTATGCAGATCAGTCTGTTGATTAAACGATAAGGAGACAAAAACCCCACTAATATACAGAGGAGTTTAGAAGGTATCTGCCAGAGATGTTCCACGGAAGACAAGGCTGCTATTACAATCCCTGCCCAGTCTCACAGCAACTTAATTGGCACAATGCATAAACAAAACCACTTGCAAAACCAAAATGAACCAAGTTTGCAGGCTCATCCAAAAGCTGGGAGCTGACAGCAAAGATGCAAATGGGTTACTGCAGCTGCCAAAGAACCTAACTGCTCTGTCCCTGTGTCCTGACTTGTCTGGGTAGTTCTGCCTGGTTTAGGTGTGACATACCAGGCTAAAAACAAGTGAGATGCTGCAGTGGTCCATGCTGGTGGAGGCAGCTGGGGAGAGGACCAGTCTATGCCCACATTTATTTGGTTGCCCCAAATCAAAACCTACTAGCCATTCTCCACCCCTCAATGCCCCAGACAACATGCCATGGTCTGGCATTAACGCAAGGGAATCCAGGCAAATCTGTTTCTTACTTTCCTCAGAGATGGGTGCAAGGTGCTAACTCATTCTTGTCATTAAAAATCTTGCTTCCTCTTTAAAAAATAATTTAAAAAGAAAAATCTCTGTTGCCAGGTTTCAATTAGCCCTTTCCGTTTCTGAGGCACCACTTACCTCCTTCCCTCTGCTAGGAGGGTGGAGGATTAAATGGCAAAGATTGACTAGACAGCTCTCTGAGCCCATTACTCGGTATCTACTGGAGCAGAAAGGTCCTGGCATGGGGAGATGTAGGGACTGTGATGGCTAGGGAGTGACTGCCCTTCAAGGTACGGACCTGTCTGGTTAACATGACCTTGTCAGCATAGCCACTTGGAATGCGCTTGGAGACCCAGCCCAAGGAGGCCAGCCCAGCATGGCTGGTGATGTCTTTGCCCTTCTCCTTTGACATGGCACCTTAAAAAAGGCACCATTAGCTTCTCCATCCCGGGTACGTCACTCACACAAACCAAATCACCCACAGAAAACAGCCAGTGGCCCCTCCGCAGTGAGGAGACAAAGAAAATTCAGTAAAAGAGGGAATTAGGTGACTTAGGCTAAACCAGACTTGTCACTGTGTGTGTCTGTGCAACCAGAGAAAAGCAGAGACAAGTTTTACCTGAACCCCCATAATTCAGATGTGATGATAAGGTCTACAAGCTCTGAGCATCTCAGAAAGCCAGGCCTTTGCAGCCCATTCACGTGTTATTAGCTGCACGAAGGATTCCAGTTAAGGAAATGGTGACGAGTTAAGGATGAGAGGGACCTTTGCAAAACTCTCCACGATGCCCCGGAGCCGAGGGCTGCTGGTACCCGCTGCCCCCGCGCCATCTGCGGCAGCGCTGGCAGGAGCCCACAGCGCGGTTGGGCCAACAGAGGGAAGGTCAGAAGTGTCCCCACCTGCCTGTAGCCCTCCAGGTCCTCATCCACCCTCACTGCCAGCGCCTCATTGTGGTGCAGGTTCCTGCCTCCTAAAAAGTAGAACATCTGCGTCACCTATCATCAGAAAACCAGCCTTTTAACCGAAAAATTCTCTCCAAGAGAGCCAAGAGAAGAGTTTCTGTGAACCTTGACTCTCAGCTTATTAGAGGTTCAATACATGGACTCACTCAGCCCTGAGAGCAGCTGGGTCCTAATTCTTGGTGCCTCAGTTTCCCTGACCAGTGCACTACCCCTTCACAGTGACATTGTTAGGAGACAAAGGTATTTAAGGATTGTCAAGTCGCGGATGCCAGGGACCAGTGATACACCAAGGGGGCACAACCAGAGCAGGGAAGAATTATCCAGAGACCTGCAAAATTGCCTCAGTCAGAGCTGTGAAATAAATAGGCCAGCTGGTAGGTCACACAACTCACCAGCTTGCCACCCTCCCCAAAAACAACCCCAAACCAAAGAAGGCTTGATCTTATTTGGGTTGTTCCGCTTTGCTCAGATACGCCAGCGTGCTCTCCCTCCTGCTCCTCGACCCCGGCCCCCAGCGCAGTGCCTCCATCCCACGCAGCTACTCGCTCGATACAGGGGCCATCCAGAAAAGACACTCTGCAAAGGAGAGAGGAAGGGGTGGCAGGGCATGTCAGATGGGGAGGTCATGAGGGAGGGGGCCAGGAGGTCAGTGCTGGGGGACACAGCCTCTGTGACAGATACTGAGCACTATTGGTCTAAGAATTAACCTCGGTGACCTGTAGCCAAGGGTTTCTGACCCTGCCTTTGCATTTCCCTGGTTGTATTACTTTGGCCAAACTTGTTTTTCCCTGTGATTACATCCCCAAGTTTGACAAAATAGGGCTAAATCCTGCTGAGAAGCCTGCAAGGCTACACCAAAAAAAACCCAGCAATAGCATTTGCCTTTAGACTGGAAAATAAATTCTTTTTCTTGCTCCATAATTGGAACTGGCACAAGCAGCCATGTCTCACCGCTTACCCACAGAAGGGCACTTCTGTTCCTCACCCAAAAGATGGGGAGTGGTGTGGGTCTCAGGGGTCCCATGGGCAGGCGAGCTGAGGGCTAGTGGCATGCTGCCTGCAGAGGTCTTTTCCTGGACGGATCTCGGCGCCTGCGCATCCATGTAACTCTGTAGGAAGCCTCGCGCCGTGGTTTCGCCTACCGGAGTTACATGGAGCCCACTCCTTCTGGGCAAGCTGATACGGCACAGGCAAAGCAAAGAAGGTGCTGAGAGGAGCCGGGGGGAGGGAGAGGCAGAAGCAAAACAGGGGATACACTTGGGAAAATGAGCCACAAACTGGTCAAGTATGTCAAAGACACCAGTGGGGTGGAAGTCAGTCCTGTTCTCCATGGGGCACCTGGATCCCCTGATTTGCATCTGTGCATCACACAGCTGGCACCCCTCTATAAGGCTGATCTCCCAAGAGCAGAGGGTTTGTCCAAGGGTGCTGAGATGGGGGCATGACGGAGGCGTCTTTCCCTTGCAGAGCAGGAAGCTGTCAGTGGAGAGCCTTATAGCGAGGGTGCACTGTCTATATCTCATTTTAAGTAGAGTCCCATGCTGAATCTGTTCCAGGAGGACGAAGCTGGTGAAGGCAGGTTCAACTTCACTGCCTACGGGATGGGACCAGCTTGCCTACAAGCCAAGGATGGCATCTCCGTCAAGGGCGCCAACAACAACAACACAGCCAACCCAGTCCCCCCGCCCTCCCGCTCCCCCGAGGAGATGCGAAAGCTCTTCATTCAGCGAGCCAAGAAGATCGACAAGATCTCACGCATCGGCTTCCCTATGGCCTTCCTCATCTTCAACATTTTCTACTGGATCATCTACAAGATCGTCCGCAGAGAGGATGTGCACAACCAGTGAGGGGAAGGGAGGAGCCGGGAGGGAGCGAGCAATCCTTTATATATGTGCAATAGCAATGCAGCAATGCATGAATTTAAGAATGTGGCAATATCTACTTAAAAAAAAAGAAAAAAAAAGGGGGAGGGGGTGGCTGGGAGGGACTTTTAATCATGTGAACTGAGGATAACCGGCACAGGGAGGAGAAAAAAAGCTCTTGACCTGGGGATTGCAGGGTGGGGGTTAGTTTTACAGCATAGGAAGGTTTGGATTGCTCCAGCTGCGATCCAAGCAGTGTAATATATTAATATATATTCATGCTTAATTATAATGCAAAAAGAAAACAATCCAAAAAAAGATAAACAAAAAAAAATCCTTTTTTTAGCCTATTAACAGCTTAGATTCTCAAGTCACTGGAATGATTCATAATTCCATGTGCAGAAACGACCGCAATTACGCTTTATCTGACTTTTGCTCTAGAAAGGCCATACCAGTCAAGCACGTGGGGGACAAAAAGCCCTAACAAAAAAGAGAGGAAAAAAAAAAAAAGAAAATCATTCTATGCTTCTCTAGGTTTTGCACTTTGAAAAATGGACAGAGAGGGAAACTTAAGAAAGAGGCTGCGGGTTGTTGTTTATTTTATATATTTACTTTTTCTAGTCACGGGTTTGCCGATCAAACACTTTGTGACTTTTGGATAGAGGAAAGCAAATACATTATCTCTCTTCATCCCCATCAGAGAACATCCAATGGGAAACCTGAGAAGGACACCGGGGCCTTCATCAGAAACCGCAGGTACCTTCTGTCCTTTAAAATGACCTGACAGGATTCGAGTCCCAGGAGTCAGAAACACTGTTCAGCACCAGAAATTATGAAGGATTTTTATTTTTTTTTTCCAAACCCCTTTCTGCCACATTTGTTTACAATGGGGGGATGGAAGCGTTGGATGCGTTAAAGCAGAAATTCTATTTAAAATACAGAGAAAACAGGCATATTCATGCCTTGTTGTCACAGGGCCGGGCAAACGGCAATGTTTGAGTAAGGGGTGGGAGGGGGGAAGGTATGTACAGAGAGAGCAGCTCTTATTTTCAGACATTTCATATTAATAGCGAAGCTCTGAAACTCTATTTTTGTATCTATTTTGGTGCTGCATTTAGCTTTAAAGAGGATGGGAAGATGGAGCTGCTTTGCCCCAGGCTGGCAGAGTTTGGTGGGGATGGGGGGAGGGAGGTTGGGGAGGGGTCTCCTTCAGCCGAGCGATAGCACAGGTTGGCGTTGGCATTTGGGGTTGAGGGGGGGACGGGGGAGGGACATGCACCAAACGCCTCCGGGGTGTCCCTTAAAGGCCGGTTCAGGGCTGGCATGGGCGAGTCGCGGGTTCGATGCCCCACCTGACTCGCTGGGACCCTGGATCTGAGCCGGGCTGCAGCACCCCGGGTGATTCAAGGTGTTTGTTGGCACTTTAGTGAGGGGGCAAGAGAGGAAGGAAGAGACAATCAGTCTGCACTGAAGCACTTGGGGTCAGGTCAGCTATGGGAGAGGAGAGGGGAGGATGGGGACCGCGAGCTCTCCCAGCACAGGGTTGGTGCCAAGAGGGGAAAGCATCAGGGCTCTCCTGGGCTGGGTAGAGGGACACACATCTCCGAGGCTGCCAATTCAGCACCTTTCACCAGCACTAAATACACTTTATTTTTAAAAATAAATAAAAGAAAGAAAAGTACCAAGGATAAGAACAACAATATAAAAAGGGAGAAAAAAGAAAACAACATAGTGGTCACTGTGTGGACTAGGGCAAATGGTAATATTTCCTAACGTCTTGGCAAAGGCCACTTAGATTTCCGAGTCCCCTTGCACTGCTGAGACAGGGAAAGGCCACGCGATACCAGTGTGAACCTGTACCTCAGCCCCTTCCCTCCATCGGAGCAGCAGCAAACCTGAGGCTGAGGGTCTCTCCCTCCCCTGGCAGCCAGTGCTTTCCCGAGCTGGGAGACCTCAAGCTGTCGCACAGAGCCGTTATTTGATGCTGGGACAACTTCCCCAGCCTTGGCTGGAGCCCAAGGCTGCTGCTGGCTCCGGTTTTGCCTGCTGAATTATTGAACTCACTCTGCATGCGCGACGGCCGGTCGTGCCAACTGCGGGTTGTGCAATTGCTTTAAACGGCACGTCCTTGTCTGAGATGAAAGAGCAAATCCAGGGAATTCCCCTCCCTGCCCGGCAGCAGGGCAGAGGCTTGGCAGCCCAGGCACTGCACATCCTTGCTGGCGCAGGGGAACAACCGCAAATCGCTGTCATTTGGGGAAAAAAAAAAAGAAGAGCCTGCCTTGATGCCGAAACCGTGTACTTGGAGTCAGGCAATTCGGTCACGGATCACACAACTTCTCTGTCTCCCCAGGCTACCTGGGATGGCTCATCAGGGAACCGCCAGCTGCAGGGCTGAGGTTTCCTTCCAAACCGGAGCTGCTCTAGCGTTCTGCAGGTTCTTAAATCCCACACACCATCTTCCCACCTAAGTGAGTTTTAATCCCACATCCCTAGAGCAAGAGCAGAGCAAGAAGGCATGTTCCCACCTCACTTCATTCTGCTCCCGCTCAGAATGGGGTTCCAAAGGGGAACCCCATGCTTGTCCTAGACCTACTGCTTAGGGATGCCGATAACTCATGATTACTGCTTCACGGGAGCTCCAGTATCACGTCTTGGCACCAAGGCCAAAGGAAGGCAAATTAGGGACTGGAAATCATCAAAGATGCTCGCGTTTCCTGCTCGCACAGAAGCACTTCAGCTGCTAGTGGAGCCCATGAGGGTTCAGGGACTGAACTAAGAATTACACACTTACCAGCCTGACTTTACATCTGGTTTGGCTCTGCCAACCACCACACACGTTTGATGCTCACCATCAGCAGTATTATTTTCCCTTCATTAGCCAGCTAGTTTCCATTCAGGCTATTTTCCAGCTCCAGGAGACTGACAGAGAGCAGCACTCGCATCACAACATGAAACATGCTGGAGTCTTGGCGAAAGTCTGATGGTGCTGAGAAAGCTGTCCCACAGACGTCCTGCCAGAGAGTATCATCACGTAGACAAGACCTTAGACTGTCCTGGGAGCCCTGGGCAAGTCTGTGCAGTTTTCAACATCAGACATTTTTCTCCGTCTGTACTAGGCTGTGTTTAGGTTCTGTATTGCAACAGAACTTGCTTTGATAACCTATCTCATCTTCAAAGTAGGCTGCTTTAATAGTGCCAGAAGTTGCATTTATTAGTAAGAACATGCAGAATTTGATGCTGCAGGGTAGCTTCCAGGAATATTGATGGAATTTAACTGTGGTTATTAGCTCTTGTTAAGAATGAGGCTCAGAAGCAAAGCCTCTGAATAAAATAAACAGCAGTCAGTCTGGAAGTAGAGAGAGAAAATAGGATCCTAATTCACTTGGACTCTTTAGAAAAACATAGCTTTACCCCAAACAATTTTATTCCCAGATGTTGCTGAAGAAGTATCACTTAGAATCATGGAACAGTTTGGGTTGGAAGTGACCTTAAAGATCACCTAGTTCCACCCCCCTGCCATGGGCAGGGACACCTTCCACTAGACCAGGTTGCTCCAAGCCTCATCCAGCCTAGCCTTGAAGACATCCAGGGATGGGGCATCCACTTTATGAGCAGGAATTAATTTTCCTTATTATATAACTGTGGAAAATTAAAAAGAAAAAAAGTAGGATAAACAGTATATTTTGGTCAGGTTGATGGTTTTTTCCTACTTTAATTCCTGATTAAAGTGGCTTTCCATGTGGGATCCCTGTACCATGGAAACCCGAGAGGTGCTGAAGGGCCCAGCACGAACAGCAAGCACGTGATCTGCTACAGGCTGAAGGCTGAGCCTTGACCCCAGCAAAGCAGCAGCTTGCCTGTAACACGGGCAAGGTCATTCGCTTCATGGGGTGGGTACTGCCCTCATTCCTCCTGTCCCAGAAGCCTTTGCTGGGCAGGGCTGGAGGACTTGGCTCCAAAAAGCACGAAACAATTTCAAATGCTGAATATTCACATCCTGTGAACAAAACCTTTTTTGTTTGTTTTTCCCAGACTTTTCTGGATTTTTTTTTCCCTGCCTCTTCTGAAGTTTTTTAATTTTAAAGAAAATCCAAGACAAATTTACATTATTGCTTGTCCTTTATCTCAACTAACTTGAAGACCTTGTTTGGTTTCCTAATGCTGGCGGAAAAAAAGGTTAGAAGTATATACAATATATATTTTTTGTGACGAAAGGAACATACGAAAGGAGAAAAGGCTATTTTAAGTGGTGCCATATTTTTCACAGATTTTATACAATCATATTTTTATACTGTACTACCATTCCTTAATAAAGCATAGTTCTTATCCCTGAGCCAAAGATAGACAATCTCTTTCAATACCCCATTCCTTACTCCAAAACCTTGCTACTGGCAGCAGTGGGTAACGCTCCCCCAAAGCCCAATCCTGCAGCAGGTCTGGGGTCACCGCCTGCCCTCTAGACATCGTGCATCTCCTGTCTGGGTAGCTGCAAGCAGCAGGTCCTGTCCTGCTGGAGCATCCCACAGAGCTCGGTTCAGTATCTAACCCTTCCCTGCCAGAAAGCACCTGACACTCCTGTCTTCTTCTCAAAGGAAGGCTGTAAAGGGGTACCTTGTGCTGCTTCAATAGATTTCCATCATTTGTGTACTATTTAAGTAGAAAATTGAGCTACTTGATTATTCTTCAGGGTGCTAGGTTGAGCACCAAAGCAGAAGCTAATATTCATTAATTTTAGCATCTTCAAAATTCCTTTGGGTCCTTTAAGTCTTCCCATCTCCTTCCCTTTAATAATTACTTCTTAAGGGCAGTTGCACATCTCTTTTGCTTAAATGAATCTACACAAGCCTCTTACTTCATTCAAGTATCTTGCATTTTTCTGCGTTCATCTCCCTTCTTTCACCACCTGAACTGTCATTTTTACAGGGCTAAGTGCCTCAGTTCTGCAGCCTTTGAAGGGCCTGGCACAGGTAGGCGTCTTGGTA